GGGATGGAGGTAAGAGAGGACCAGTAAATGGGTTAAGGTAGGAATAAGCAAAGAGGGAATTAGATCACGTGAAGGATATACATGCCTCTAAGGAAGGAGAACAAGTCAAAGGAGAAAGTGTGGGATTCCGTAAGGATGTCTATTAGGTGGGAGGTCGGGGACGGGAGGATAGGCGAGGGGAAATAGAGGCAAAGGCTGCAGTACAGCCCGGACTGGATAGCAGAATGTGTAGGATTGTAAGAGGAACATTACACAAGGAACATAGGGGCGGATCAGATTGTGACATGAGATAGAAATGCATAAGGCAGGTGTGGCCAATCCGCAAGCAGGCAAGAGCCGTTTCCCAGCGTCTGCTCTAATGGAATGGGGCTGGCCAAGAGGAGACTGATAGTTTTAAAGTATGCAATTTATTGATGAGAGAACTTGAATAAGAGATTGCCAAATAACCATCATTAATCCGACACTACCAAAAAACGTTAGCAACCCTAGCCTGGTAGTTGCATTTTGTCCTCGATTGAAAAAAACGAAGACCTATGATTTCCATACTCAGTGGAATTAGAGGTCCATATTTTTGTTTTCTTCTTTACCTTTAAGAATGCTCGAACATTGTTACTGCTACTTTATGCAATTACTGTTCACTGAATTTGTATATGCAAAGTTGTTTTCTTCCATTTTTAGGGTTATATTGGGTGAAAAAATAAGCGATTTAGCAAAATAACCACATATTAAGATATATGTAGATTTAATCAATGTATTTTGGTGTTTACTACAGAATAAAGCATTTCATAGGATTACAATAATCCAATATTTATATGGACATTTGCAGGTATGGCATTCTCCTGTAGCTGCTATGTAGTTCTTCATATAGACTGAATTTTAAACAGTTAATTCAATAAGCTTTAGTCAAGTTTTCATCCACCCTAAAAATCCTTAAAGGATATTGGGTTTTGAGTAACTGAGGAAACCATTTGTAGTCTGTAGTGCAAAAAGACTAAAAACCACTGCTTATTGTTATGTCATCCATTCTTTGTTAGTACATTCCACCATTTTCCTTGGAATGTAAAACACTAAGTAGAAAAAAACTAATACCTGTAATGATCAACAGCAGATGTGGTTAAAGAAACAACATCCTATCCCAAGATATAAGTATATTAAATATTGCACAAAGTATTTCCTTTGTGACTTGCTACTGAATTGTTAGATCAGCATTGAATGTAAAAGAAAATATCAAATTTTTATTTTGCTCAAAATTTCACGACACCAAATTTGTGAAAACAAACAAACATAATTATGTGACAACATAATACCGAGCAAGGTATATCATAGCACAAGAATACATGAAGTGATCTGAACCAACATTTTTATTGCAACCTAACATTAATACAGAAGCTTGATTTCAACTAATTACTACATGTCAGGTACATCTTGACTGAAGCACTACAAGGACTGCTTCTTAGCTTGGCCATGTGTGAAAGGAACAGGAATCGATTATGCAGAAGGATACCCTGACAGGTTCTGCTTCAAATCAAATCCCTTTTATTTTCACATATTTTGGAAAATAGCATTACACAATTGACAGAGGTATGATATTACAGTATGGATTGGTTTATAATTCGGGAAATATAATATCAGTTATTGCTGTCAAAATGGCAATGGCTTCCTTTGAGTGACAAATTAGTAAAATAACAATAATTCATAAGCAGTCTATTCTTCAAATACCAGGTTGCAATAATTTTATCAAATAAAGTAAGACCACTTTAAAATACCCACCTAGTATCAGTAGTAATTGTAGTAGTTGTAGTTGCAGTCATAGTAGTAGTAGTAGTAGTAGTAGTAGTAGTAGTAGTAGTAGTAGTAGTAGTAATAGTAATAGTAGTAGTAATAGTAATAGTAATAGTAATAGTAATAGTAATAGTAGTAGTAGTAGTAGTAGTAGTAGTAGTAGTAGTAGTAGTAGTAGTAGTAGTAGTAGTAATAGTGGTGGTGGTAGTAGTAATACTACAAGTTCCTTAGTAGTAAGCAGAAGCAATAAAAGACATATCAATAATGTGGAGATGTTGTGTTGGTGTTGGCTGTATTGGTAATAGTAGAAAGTGTACTTGAAATCTAATATTTCATAATGCAATTCAGCATTTTGAATTTATAGAACATTACTGGAAAGTCTGAAGAATTATAATGTCCATATAATGTAATTCCACCAACACCTAGTTTAGTCTAATTAACAACAATTGCACAATAGTAAACAGTAAAAGAGTGCTAGAGCAAAGAAACATTTAGCATGTCAACTTTATATAAAAAAGAGTAAGATGTCACCAATGTGCTGTGAAATGGTATTATTTTCTGAGAATATGTTAGTGCTAACCTTTCAGAACTATAGACAATGTAAAGATAAACCACAAAAATGACCTTTTGGAATAGGTAATACTGTGTAATATTTCACAACTGTGGACTTTAACATTAAACACCTCTCATGTGAAATTGAGCATATCATTGCTGACAACTGAACTGAAACCATCAGCAGTCATCTTAAAATCTATGCAAGGAACACTAATCTCTAGCAAAAATAATTCAATTATTTCTCTAATGATATACTTCTCTATAAATACATTAATTTCTACCATCACAACATACAAATACTCCTGTACCATCCTATAACCAACAGATATTTCTTTTTAAAGTCAACCATACCAAATGCAACAACACAAATCTTCAGTAAATGTTTTCAGCATGGAAAAGGACAGAGAGAGTCAAGACCAAAATCGCATTTAAAATTACAAGATCTTGCGAGTGTAAGAATCAGTTGATCTAACTGTAAATGTATAAGCAACTGCTTCCACTAACCACAATGTTAAAAACATTAGAAAATTAAGGACACAGAGGAAAAGAAGAAATTCATAAAAAAAAAAGATTAATGAGTTAAAGTTGCAAGAAAGATACACCATAAAAAACAATGGCATTCCTTGCAAAAATTAAAGAGGACAAAGATCAGGATTGGAAGATAAATACTGTAGTTTATAGATATATATATATATTTATGTTACCGTAACTATTCTTCACTGATATGACTTGTGTTCAACCTCGTCAATTTTTCACAGCCATACTTTGGCACAAATGCTGGTAATAAAAATGAGAAAAATAAATAATACTGATAATAAACAAAATAATACAAAACAATAAAACTATTTTTCAAATACCTGCATTGCTTTAAAACAGTCAAGTATATTGGTTTAACTTTTGATTAACTATTCATGCTGTTATTAAAGGCTACATTTGTTAGAATGTGTATAAAAAATGAAAAAAGACTCCAATATTGGTAATAATAGTCAAGAGTTAAACTATAAAATATGATAAACTTTATAAAAATAAGCCAGTTTCATGGCATTCTTTCACCCTTACACAGGGATTACTGAATATTTGTTTCAAGGGTCAAACACAAATGGTAAATTTCTACTACACAGAACAGCTGTTAAAATATCTGGAAACCACAACCACATTTCTAATTACACCTTACATACATCATTACAGGAAGTCAATACTATTACTAAAGCAAAAAGTATCTTAACAGACAATGCAAACTGTCTCCAGTCAGAGCTTCCACCACATAAAAGTCTAAGTGTAACTCTTACATTAGTTTGTCCCATACCAGCAGCTTGTTGAGAGTACACTCCTTTACCCTCCACCAGATTCCTTCATGCTACTGTTTCAGATGTGATAACAAAAATAAAATGTAAAATTTGGCTATATCATCATGTGCATCTATTATTCAGAATACTGTATTACTTATAAAAGTGAAGCACGCAGTATGGTGGAGGCAGTGAAGGTACCTCTAACTATTTCAACTTATAACCTATGGCAGTGTGAGTAATGCCCATGTTAAAGAGAACAGGCAATATATTCTCTACATGATACTATGCACTATAACTTGAGTACAGCTGAAGAAGGCAAATAATAATTAATACAATATTCTACTGGCATGAATGACTACAAACCAAATTCTGAAAAATGAAATGCATTCCCTCCATATTTTCATATTTCATTACAACTTGAGTTACCTTTTCATGTTACCAAATGAAATAATGGCTCTCTCTCCTGAATTCTCTCTACCATCAAATATTAGTAGCAGATGCATGTGAGTACCTGGTTCTATTTTATCCATAATTTCCTGTTCACAAAATATACACACAAATTTTTCTTTAGGCATGTAAGCCCCTTCATCCAAACTAGCCAAATGGTAAGAACACAATGCAAGTGAGAAGAAAAAGAAGAAAAATAACAACATGAATAAGTTAGAAACAACTAGACTATATCAGAAAATACAAATACTAACAGTAATTAAAAGGAGAGTGATACTAATACTTAGCATAAAAATGATCTACTACTGAATCAAACACTTTTACTCTGGAAGGCGTGTTACCCTTCATGTCTCAAAAATTAAGTGATCTTTAGTTTAGCTTACATCATAATAGAGGTAAATATTGAAAAAAAAGAAAGAAAGAAAGAAAGAAAGAAAAAAAATCTGATAATGTAAATAACTAAATTCACAGAATATGTAAACTATCACAACATCTGCTACAATAACAGAATTTCTAATCAACTTTTAATTTCACATATGTCAGTTCAGTTTAAACATGGTGATATTCATACAATTACTCTATTTTTCAACATTGGTTAACAGTTTTTAATTCATGAAATACATACTTCTAAAAAATCAGGACTGCTTTATATAAAACTATAGCTCTTGCACATTCATGTAATAAATAGTATACATGTTTGGTTACATGCCATCATACAGTAGCTAATATCAATGTACAAAATTTGTCCCTTCCAATTTCTTTTCCAGTAGATTATTGAAGACATAGTGAAAAATTAACTGTGCATAACTGGTATATGTTCATAATATCATATATATATATATATATATATATATATATATATATATATATATATATATATATATATATATATATATATATATATATATATATATAAACACACTCTGACTCGATGCAAATAATCTTTAATGCCTAGATAAAATATGATTTAATATAATCATCATTTCATTATAACCAGATAAAAAAAAAAAAAAAAAAAAAACCTACATGTAATCATTTACTTCTGATTATGGTTCACATATTTATCAACATATTTTCATAGACCCTTTCAAAAAAATAAACTAACTCCTTCAGATTTCATTCAATATTACCATTAAACATTTTTCCTTCTACAACCATATATCATACCATTTATAAACAAGTTAATGAAACTGACAGTTAACCTTTTCTACAGAAAAAGTCTTCTGGTAATTTCTAACCACCAAAATATACGAAGAAACAATATCTATCAGCAACACCACCCCTGCTACAAAAAAAAAAAGAAAAAGAAAAACATGAAGCCTCCATTCCCCTGCTATTCTTTCTTAGCTTAAGAAAATCACTGAATTCCACACACAAGGATCACAGACTACAAGCCAAGTCTAGGAAAGAGATAATGTGCACTCAGATTCCAAGTTCAATGAGCTTCAGTTTGTTTAAGGTGAGATGTCTTACAAAATATTCATCCAAAATATTACAACTATAAAGAAACCAACAAGTGAGACTGAACTTCTCAAAGTTAGTTCTTTTATCACAGAATTGTATGACTCAGGGAAAAGGGGAAAACAGTATCATTCACACAGCACTCATAACCACAACATTTCAACAATAGTATCCAAATGTTGCAGTTAACACTAATAAACATTCTGATAAAACACACTTGCCACAGGTATGTGTTCATAGGACACATGCGAGAGAGGGAAGGATAGGCAAGAAGAGAAGAGGAGAGAAAAGAGAAGAGAGGAGAGAGGAGTGAGGAGGGAGAAGAGAGGAAGAGAAGAGGTGAGGAGAGAGAATGAAAGAGAAAAGAAGAAGTGAGGAGAGAATGAAAGAGAAGAGAGGTGAGGAGATAGAATGAGAAATAGAGTGAGTGTGTTCAATATTTCTTTCACACTTTCCCACATATACATAGTTTCTACAAAAATGAGATCAGTCAGATTATAAAAGAACTTATGTCTGAAATGGATTTGATCTTCACTCCAGGTCACGGAGATTGATAGTTGACTGTGGATCTGTAGTAGGGTCAGAGAGCAGATCATGTCCCATTAGCGTTTCTTGGTACAACTCACTAGTAACCGCATCATCCTGTTAAAGAATAAACAAACACAAATTACCATCAAAATAAATATTCTAAAAAAAAAAAAAAAAGTGACATAAGATCTAAATTAACACCCATAAACATAAGTATTTGATGCCTTATAAAAACCCTTAAAGCATGATATCAGAGTCAACAGGAGAACTTACTTGTAATAAAGTCGACTGAAGATGTGAAGTAGCTGGTAGAGTAACTGCTGATGCTGATAACACTACATCATTGGTGAAACTCACCACACCATCAGTACCTGTATAAGATGATTAATTGTAATTTAATATTAATCAGAATTTAATATCTGTTAAGAAGAAGAAGAAGAAGAAGAAGAAGAAGAAGAAGAAGAAGAAGAAAAGGAAAGGGGGAAAAAAAAAAAAAAAAAAATATATAAATAAATATAGAGTAAAGAAATACATATGTTAGCAGGGCTGTGGAGTCTGTACTAAAACCACCCGAATCCAACTCTGACTCCGATCCCTTGGTATAATAATTTTACAAAATGGAGTTCATAACAACTACAGGCTACCTTTTAACCACATGTCCTTAGAGGTTTGAGTCAAATGGTTATAGCTATGCTAGTATGGCCTTTTTATTGTATATTCTTAATAATAAAAATCATTATACTTTCCAAAATTACATATAGGACTATGGCAAAATGAAAATTATATTATTTCTCATTCTCTTGGGTGGAAATAAATTGTGTGATGTGTTTAAAAAGTTTGATTTTTGCGATTTATGTTGAGGTCAGAGATGGGACATTTTTATCAACTCCAGGAACACCAAATTCCTTCCAGCATTGTTTGTAAGAACAAATCCGAGAAAAGAAAGAAAGAAAGAAAGAAAGAAAGAAAGAGAGGAGAGAATGTCAACATAATATCTTCTCATTAGATTTGTATCAATTTCTTTGACACTTTGGTAATTATACAGCTAACATGCACAAAAAAGTAAAAAGGATAATGCACATATTCATTTTTTCCACCTTGCTTCAGTCTACATTTTACCTGCATTTCCTACTATCTATTTCTAAGACTGTTTAACAATGATTTCTAGTCGTCTTCAAGAAAAACTATACTAATCTTAAACAGTACACACAAGGAAAGTAATGCCAATTGCTATTTGCACTTTACTTAAACAAAAATTTATGAAAGGTATCCCACAATCAGAACACCTATGAATCACCAAGGCCAAGAATAGCTAGTGTCCATCAATCACATAAATTTAGTCTGTCTTGGAAATAATATTATGAATACAGTAATGCCACACAGAGGAAAATGTCAAAGTCCCAGCACCAATGTAAAGTAATTGTTAGGTTTAAAATTGTAGACTAACATTATTTTAGAAATTTCAACATACTTCTTCTCCTAAGCAATAAGTCTACATGAAACTGGTTATATTTTCTATTCTCCTCATTCATACAACCATTCTCAGAATAAGAAATATTCCCAGAAAGATCAATTGACAAAATACAGTACTCATCTGTAGTAAGATGCAAAATGACACTCTCAAAACATCAGACTTGACACATGTTAGTTCTGAATTTTGTTTTCATAACCAAAACAAACACTGAACTACAGCCTACCAGTATAGATTGACATTTCTTTAGAAAAAATAGTTAAAAGAATTATCTTTCATGCCTTTCAAACACAGGGGTGCACCTTATAGGCAGCAGCTTCTTATAATCTGGCATTTGATGTGTTTAAAAACAATTTTTCTTAATTTTCAGAAATGTGTCCCAAACATGAGGAATATGAACATTACTTATTTTTGATGAGTCTGTAATGATAGGAATAACAATAACACAAGAGTGTGTCCACCCACCTGATATATGACATCCAAGCTCTGCCATTTTCAAGAAGAAAGAAAGAGAGGAGAGAATGTCAACATAATATCTTCTCATTAGATTTATATCAATTTCTTTGACACTTTGGTAATTATACAGCTAACATGCACAAAAAAGTAAAAAGGATAATGCACATATTCATTTTTTCCACCTTGCTTCAGTCTACATTTTACCTGCATTTCCTACTATCTATTTCTAAGACTGTTTAACAATGATTTCTAGTCGTCTTCAAGAAAAACTATACTAATCTTAAACAGTACACACAAGGAAAGTAATGTCAATTGCTATTTGCACTTTACTTATACAAAAATTTATGAAAGGTATCCCACAATCAGTACACCTATGAATCACCAAGGCCAAGAATAGCTAGTGTCCATCAACCACATAAATTTAGTTTGTCTTGGAAATAATATCATGAATACAGTAATGCTACACAGAGGAAAATGTCAAAGTCCCAGCACTAATTTAAAGTAATTGTTAGGTTTAAAATTATAGACTAACATTATTTTAGAAATTTCAACATACTTCCTCTTCTAAGCAATAAGTCTACATGAAACTGGTTATATTTTCTATTCTCCTCATTCATACAACCATTCTCAGAATAAGAAATATTCCCAGAAAGATCAATTGCCAAAATGCAAAATGACACTCTCAAAACATCAGACTTGACACATGTTAGTTCTGAATTTTGTTTTCATAACCAAAACAAACACTGAACTACAGCCTAACAGTATAGATTGACATTTCTTTAGAAAAAATAGTTAAAAGAATTCTCTTTCATGCCTTTCAAACACAGGGGTGCACCTTATAGGCAACAGCTTCTTATAATCTGGCATTTGATGTGTTTAAAAACAATTTTTCTTAATTTTCAGAAATGTGTCCCAAACATGAGGAATATGAACATTACTTATTTTTGATGAGTCTGTAATGATAGGAATAACAATAACACAAGAGTGTGTCCACCCACCTGATATATGACATCCAAGCTCTGCCATTTTCTTTGCTAAATTCAACTGCTGTCTTTTTCTTGCTTTACGGGAACGGAGTATGTTACCAAGGACGTCAGTTCTTGCAGAGCCTCCAGACCCTGGCACTGAATCTTTTGATATAGTTGGCATATCAAGGGACTCTACTTCACTTTCCCCATTCCCTCCAGCTGCATTACCCATAAGCGTGTCTGGCATACCAACATCCATGCCTTCGATGGCTTCTGCTGCAGCTCTCCCTTCCATCACGATAATGGGTGGAATGTTCGTACCATCTGCAAGAGTTGATTTAGATTATTTAGATTAATTTTGTGTTATCATTTTTCTTAAAATCAAGTCACACAGACATGCTTGCACACATACCCTTGTGTGAGTACACACATGCAAGGCTGGTACATACACATTTATACATGTACATGCATACACACAAAGAAGAAAAGAAAGAAAGAAAAAGAAGAAAAAAAGGGGATTTAAAAACTATCTCTATTTACTATCTACTCCCTAAAATTTTAACAGATTTTGGAAATAATTGTGAGAAAACAGTAAACATATACATATATAAACAATGTACATAGCTCACTTCAAGTCTGAATTTTTAATGTCATATTTAAGTGCATATTCATACTTATAGAAAGATCATCTAGTTTTCTATTTGGCTGCAATAGAATGTGCCACATACCTGTGCCAATGTCCCCATTAATGAGCTCAATACTTGAAAGCAATGTGGCATGGGTGTCCCCTGCATGAGAAGATGGTGCCAGTGATGAGGCTGGAACATTGGGGTCAAGAGTCGCAGAGGCTGATGTGGAACCACCAGCTGTCAGTGGCAGAAGGTGGTCCATCATGAGGTCCTTTTCTCCTAGTAGCGTTATATAATCCAATTGACTTGTATCTGTCGCTGTTGAGAGATGAATATTAGGATTATGGACTTACATGTAGTACATCTATTTTAACCCCTTAACGCCGGGTGACGCCGATCAGCGTGAAAACAAACCGCTCGAAAGCTGGCGTGCGGCTGCCAGTGATTCGGGCTGATGTCCTCTACTCACGTGCTTAAAGTCGGTGCGCCGCCTTTGTTTGCTAGAGCGTAGACTTTTTTTTTTTTTGTTTTGTACACCCGGCGCCATTGGGTTAAACCTCTCATATCAGAACATAAAAAAGTGCAATGAGAAACCTTAATAAATATATGCAGATCAAACTCACTCAGAATGGTGTGGTTCTTCAGCATGTGCTGACGGAGGTTGAACTTAGAATTATAACTCTTGTCACAGGTATCAATAGGGCAGTGATAAGTTACTTTATTATTATTCTCTTTGGTTTTCCCTTCATGCTTCTTGAGGTGGACGTACAAACTGCTCTTTGCTGTAAATTTTGCATTGCAATCTGCAAGAGATAAAATATTTGTTTGAATTATAAATAAACACAATGGGATTTATATAAATCATACAAATATTACATCCCAAAATATGAAAATAAACAAACCATGACACAAACAACTGAGTTATGAAGTGGTGATTTTTTATTCCTTCAACTGATATTTATAATTAGTTCAAGACATTAAAACTAGTAACTATTTATGCAACAAAAGAAATCATTCAATAAGAAAAATTGTTTTTTCCATTACATACGTTCAACAGGACACTGGAAATTTCTGACACCAGTGTGGATGAGGAGATGGCCCTTTAAGTGTTCTGATCGCAAAAATGACTTTTGACATATAGTGCAGGTGAATTTTCTGTCATTGGTATGCTTCCGCTGGTGGCGACTCAATTTACTTGCACTTTGGAAAGACCAATTACAGCCCTAAAAGTTAAAACAACAATTTTTTATATATTCTGCCATGTATCAGGCATAGAATAAGCATAAATTTATGAATTAAAAATTATATTTATTCTTTAAACCATGTATTTTCACTTATTTAGAGGTAATATGCCAGTTTGTCTAATACAGTACCAATAACAAGTGTCCAATAAATAATGGAAAAAGTATTGAGCATCTACCTCATATGTACACACAAATGGTCTCTGGCCTGTGTGTACCCTCATGTGAGCCTTTAGTCTGCACGGTTTATCAAACTTCTTCCCGCATCCTGTCCACTGGCATCGTAGTTCTTCCTCCTTGTGATGACTGCGCATGTGTGAGGTTAGGGAGTTTGGTGTGAAGTATGATTTACTGCAGCCATCAACTCCACATCTGTTTAACAAGTAATGATGTAAGATAACATTGAGACCTAATGACATACAGAGCTGTTATTAATTATCATTTGGATATCATTAACTGATCTTGTTAAATCATCATACAAGAGACATTCTGATTAAAGAAGCAAATGTTTTGTATACTCTTTTTAAGGGGGAGGTTGGTGCTGATTGTTTGAACGCAAAATATCCAAATGAAATAGCTGTATTTCAAATAACATCATCGCTACTTTCCAATCACAAAAATATAAATCTATATCAATAGCATTACATCACAAAAGCTAATTTCACTACAAAACTACAGAAACTAAAAATCACACGATTAAGGTAAAACGTCCTGATTACGCAAAACTTACTTATATGGAGCTTCTACATCTTTGTGGGTCTTCATATGGACCTCCAACTCTCTCCTTGTATGAAATGCTTTTGTACATTCTGGCAGTGAACACATCCAGCACTTTGGTCTTTGATGTAATCGAAGATGTGTGTTGAGGTTGTATACAGTGGTGAACCTTCTATTGCAGTTAGGTTCTGAACACTGAAATCAGAATACATAAACAGATTAGTTAAAGGTATTGAGCTGCATTTTTTTCTTTTCACATTTAAACTAAGGGGTAAAAGGGATATATCTATTCTTTTTCCTATTTTATATTCATTCATATAATGACACCATGAAAACTGACACAACAAACCAAGTAAAAAAAAATAATAATAATAATAAAAAAAATAATAAAACAAATAAATAAATAAATAAAAATAGGAAACTGACGGCATGGCTAATAAAATTTCATAGTGTTATTCCCTGACTGTTCCTTGCTTGATATATGGTAATTTCTTCAACTCTGCATTTCTAACCTTGTAAAAAATAAAATGCTTAGGTATCACAATGCCTCTTCTACATCAACTGATATTATCCAAAAAGTTGCACATGATTCATGGTGAAATATTTAAAAAAAATAAATCATGAAATAAGCAGTAGCAGAGGCTGCAAGATCAAACTGAGGAAAAAAAGTATACTCACTGCAAAATCTCTTCTCTTAAGATGTGTTTCAATATGTCTTTTCAGCTTATACCACGTGTAAAAAGCCCAATCACAATTTTCATAGCTGCATTTGTAGGGTCGGATTCCATTATGACTTAAAAGATGTACCTTGAACGAAAAGAAACAACTTAATTAACAATTATTTTTGTACTAATATTTTGCAAATGTAAGATGAAAAAATATATACAACCTGTTTCCTTTACAACTTAATGCCTTAAAGATTAAGATGACAGTGATGAGGTCACATATGCTGATGTTGTAGTTTCAGGCCATAAAACAACAAAAAAACCTTCCAAATGCTTCCCTGATTACCTTTAATGATGAAAGCTTGGGGAAATGTTTACAGCAACCTTTTATTGGACAGAGCCAACGCTTCCCACCTTGTGGCGAAGGCTCACACTGCAGTGAATCTATATGAATACCTAATTCTTCCAAAGCCTTGTCAGCAACCTCATCTGAAACTACAGTAATAGAAATTAGATACTTCAATAATTAATAAAATTAATAAGGACTAAGTGACTATCATGGAAATTTCAGTGGGATTAAGGAGATATCTCCTCAATGCCAGGTAGAAATGTCAAATTTAAATTAATGTTTCCAGCCTGAAGACAGTCAGGTTTGAATTGCAGAATTCATATCTTAATTTGTGAAGCATACTCAACATTAGGACCATATATATAGGCATTACATGAAAGCAATATTAAATACAATTAATGCATTGCCAACTTGCAAGTACCTGTAGAATATATATATCAATAGAATATTTAAAATAGTCTTTTACTGTAAATATACATACACCCTAATAATGTTAATACTCTTTCTTGATAAACCTAAAAAATTTCCTTGAGGAAAGGGTTCCACATTTCATCTTAAGCAGACTGGTTTGAACACTGCATTTTGTGGAAATTTTTAGGTACTGTGTTATATATATTTAGTAATGTTTATATTTGTCATTACTCTTTTTTTTATAAATATTAAAAAAAAGAGGCACAGCATAACACATTACTATCAACAAAAAAAATAAAAATAAAATAAAATACCTACTTAAAACTTACCAAAAAGCATTGCCTGAAGTAAAATGTTTGTAAAGTGTTGCCCTGAAGCTCCATCTTTTGTTGTCCTTCAATTAATCTCTTGCCTTCTTCACCCACAAACCTTTACCCAGATGGCTTACACCTCTTACATTCTCACCATATCCTTATGCATAGTAAACTGCTATCAATCTGATGTTTTTCCCAAGTATAATACTATCCCATGTACAACAACTAATCTAAAAAATATATGCCAATGATTTTATTCTAAGAACATATCTAACTTTACTCTGGCTAGGTTGATGAAATTGATTTACTTTAGGCTCTCAATAATATTAAATGTAATCTTTTCATATATTGCATATCAAAGAAATCTGAACAAGTTAACCCATTCGTGCCGGATGTCACATATGCGTGACATGCCCACTGTGAGTTTACTTGTTTAATTGTTTTTACACATAGATGGCTACACTTGTACTTGTACTGCCTGTCTCGCCTGTTTACCCTTTTCTTTAATTTACAAAAATATTTTACGTTTCTTATTTTGCTGTTACTAATTTCTATAACATTATAGTAATTAAAATATTTATAATAAAAATAACCATCGATATTCATTGCACTAGTAAAAATACATTTTCCTGCCAATTCAAGTAAAGGTGAAATCAAGTAAAGCAGAGCCATCTAGTGCAGAGATATTTCACAAAAAAATGTAAAAAAAAAAAAAAATAATGAGGCACAGCATAACACATTATTATCAATAAAAAAATAAAAATAAAATAAAATACCTACTTAAAACTTACCAAAAAGCATTGCCTGAAGTAAAATGTTTGTAAAGTGTTGCCCTGAAGCTCCATCTTTTGTTGTCCTTCAATTAATCTCTTGCCTTCTTCACCCACAAACCTTTACCCAGATGGCTTACACCTCTCACATTCTCACCATATCCTTATGCATAGTAAACTGCTATCAATCTGATGTTTTTCCCAAGTATATTACTATCCCATGTACAACAACTAATCTAAAAAATATATGCCAATGATTTTATTCTAAGAACATATCTAACTTTACTCTGGCTAGGTTGATGAAATAGATTTACTTTAGGCTCTCAATAATATTAGATGTATTCTTTTCATATATTGCAAATCAAAGAAATCTGAACAAGTTAACCCATTCGTGCCGGCTGTCACGTATGCGTGACATGCCCACTGTGAGTTTACTTGTTTAATTGTTTTTACACATAGATGGCTACACTTGTACTTGTACTGCCTGTCTCGCCTGTTTACCCTTTTCTTTAATTTACGAAAATATTTTACGTTATCTTATTTTGCTGTTACTAATTTTTATAACATTATAGTAATTATAATATTTATAATAAAAATAACCATTGATATTCATTGCATTAGTAAAAATACATTTTCCCGCTAATTCAAGTAAAGGTGAAATCAAGTAAAGCAGAGCCATCTAGTGCAGAGATATTTCACAAAAAAATGTAAAAAATGAGCACAGCATTTTCCTCATTTTTTGTTCATTTTTACCCATCACGAATGGGTTAACAAGTAACAAATCATTTTCACCTATATTTACATTTTATGTGAAAATAAAGGAAAAGGGAGAAGAAATTGGGACACTTGACTCACCTTAAATCACCCATAGAGAAACCAAATTAGGATCCAATTAAGAAGTAAAACCACTACTAGACTTCAAGTTATTCACATACCTATACACATTTCAGGGTTTTCATCATTAACATCTTCATCATTCTGTGTAGTTGTCGATGAGGAAGGAGAGTGTGCAGAGGTCTGAAGAAGGTCTCCAGACACTAAAGATGAGGCAGACAGCGTGTCTAAGACAGAAGGGACCGAGACCATGGTAGGTGGAGCACCAGGTCGCAGAGAAAGCCCCACGCCTTCGTTTTTCACTGTGGAAAGATGTTGTTCTTAGTTTCCAAGTATAAAGATTTATGTGTATGCGTGTGTAAAAGTAACAAATATTTCATGAATAGATAAAAAAGTATGACTATGTGAGTGTGAGTGTGTGTGTGTATATGTGTATATTGTATATTTTGTGTGTTGTACATTATGTTACATACTATACTTAGTTTTAAATCATCTACCTACAAGTACAAATTACAGTACTAGGATCACAGTTCACACAGCTTTGTAGTAAGACACACAAATAGTTACTGAGATATGATACCAATGACAACTAATAATTTACATATTTTAGATCATACAGACAATAACCCTAAATAAAGCAATATTGGCAGTGTACTGATAAAAAATATGGTAATCCTTTACAGTATGGATGCACAGCACAAACTTTATTCAACATCCAAATTGCCATTACTGGGTGTGCCCTTTGAGCACTGCCCAATGGGAGGGTTGTATGGGAGGCTCTGCCCCTGAATACCCCCAGGCAAACATTGTCTTCATCTCTGTATGTACAGCTAGATAGAGCTGAAACTCAGGAGCACTGAGTTGACTTAGGCTGTGGGCAGTAGTTTCCATGACCTTTTTCCTTTCAAAATTATTATATTTATCATAACATAATGTGATGTCTATCGACTAGTTTTATAGGACTTCCGGTTAAGCATGTGCAGTGTGGAATTCTCCCTCTACCCATGGCAGGGTAGAGCACAAGACTGACATGCAGGAGCACCTAATGAAGAGTCCTCCCTCCAGGAGGGAGGATCACATGGGACACAGCCCAGTTCATTAGACAGTACAGTGACTGATTCATTACTGTGATTACAGCAGAGTTTGAGAATTCCACATTACACACACAGGACTGGAACTCTTGGAAAAATAATCAATAGACATCACATTATGATACCATAAACATAGCCACAGACTTTATTTGTTTATTCCTTAATATGTGGTATTATTGTTTGTGTGTGCAAATTATTTTTTGTACTGACAACTGCAACTTTTTGTCCTCTACAATAATATCATCTTCAATTTGTCCTTAGTGCATCCATAACATAATGAATAACCAAAAATTAATAGGGTAAGAATAAGAGAACAAGAATAATAATCAATAACTGATAATAAGAATAACAATAATAGTAATGATAATGATAACAATAACAACAATAACAATAACAATAACAATAACAATAATAATAATAATGATAATGATAATAAAAATAATAATAAAAATAATAATAAAAATAACAATAACAATAACAATAACAATAACAATAACAATAACAATAACAATAACAATAACAATAACAATAACAATAACAATAACAATAACAATAACAATAACAATAACAATAACAATAACAATAACAATAACAATAACAATAACAATAACAATAACAATAACAATAACAATAACAATAACAATAACAATAACAATAACAATAACAATAACAATAACAATAACAATAACAATAACAATAACAATAACAATAACAATAACAATAACAATAACAATAACAATAACAATAACAATAACAATAACAATAACAATAACAATAACAATAACAATAACAATAACAATAACAATAACAATAACAATAACAATAACAATAACAATAACAATAACAATAACAATAACAATAACAATAACAATAACAATAACAATAACAATAACAATAACAATAACAATAACAATAACAATAACAATAACAATAACAATAACAATAACAATAACAATAACAATAACAATAACAATAACAATAACAATAACAATAACAATAACAATAACAATAACAATAACAATAACAATAACAATAACAATAACAATAACAATAACAATAACAATAACAATAACAATAACAATAACAATAACAATAACAATAACAATAACAATAACAATAACAATAACAATAACAATAACAATAACAATAACAATAACAATAACAATAACAATAACAATAACAATAACAATAACAATAACAATAACAATAACAATAACAATAACAATAACAATAACAATAACAATAACAATAACAATAACAATAACAATAACAATAACAATAACAATAACAATAACAATAACAATAACAATAACAATAACAATAACAATAACAATAACAATAACAATAACAATAACAATAACAATAACAATAACAATAACAATAACAATAACAATAACAATAACAATAACAATAACAATAACAATAACAATAACAATAACAATAACAATAACAATAACAATAACATTAACAATGATGATGATGATGATGATGATGATGATGAAAAATAATAATAAAAAATAAATAAATAAATAATAACACTAATAAATAGGTTACTATAATGATTTTTTACATGAAACAATAATAACAAATATAAAAGTTGGAAAAGAGAAAATTATTTTTTCTTTGATTTCTAGTAATTAAGCAATTAAAAATACCAAAAAATAAATATATAAACAAAGAAAATAAATCAACACTGCACACTCACCATAGTTTCTCAAGTACTTACACTGTGATTTGTCAGGTGAGGTGATGACAGGTATACGTGAAGCTCTGCCATCTGAACTAGTAGATGGTGGTGAAGAATCCATCTGGGTTTTCTGTGTAGCTAAACTGGTCTGTATCCCTTTGGCTGTTGTTAAGACGGCTCCTGATGTAATTGGGGGCTTTCCTGTTAGCCCTGAGGCTGAAGTAGTTACAAAAACTGGTGCTGTTCCTATTAATGATGACCCTACACTGTTACATGTGACAATAGAACTACTTGAATTTGGACTCAAAGCACTCGTAACAGGAGTTGATCTAGCAGTTGCAGCAGCCTGTCTCAATAAGGCAAGTTGTCCCTGCTGCATTCTTGATATGGGAGCCTTGACCTCCTGAAGGACCTGGTTAATCTCAAAGTTTTGAGGCCCAGAACTGCCATCTTTCCCTCCAGACTTAGCCTGGCGGGCTGTCCCCTGATGTACTTCTTGAATTAATCTATGTGCTGTGTGTGCTGAGCGCAGCAACTGCTGTGGAGTGAGTCCCAGTGGTTCCAGGTGTAGCTCCTGAATACTTGAAACAGCTCTGACTAAATCACAGGTATTAATTTTGAAGACAGTGTGTTTCTTATTTGATGAAACAATGTTGACTGTTGTGAGATTTGCTTTACGATCTACAGTAATTGTTACATTAGCAGTACCAGGCTTGTTTGGAGGCTGTACAGCAACTACTTTCAATGGAGTCAGAGTTAATGGAGTACTTTCTTTTGGGGTCCCAATAGTCTTGGGTGCCATACTGTTTGGCTGGGGTGCCTGTTGCTGGATCTGTTGTCCTGGAGTAATAAGAGGTCTCAGAATGAAAGCTGGTCTTGGCAACTGTGTCCCACCCACTGTTGTGGTTGGAGTAGCACTGGTGGGTACAACAGTAGCTGAAGAAGAAACTGGTGGTGCTGCTAATCGCAGCTGAACCATTCCAACTGGTAACTTCTTTAATTCTGCTCTAACCAGACCTGAAGGAATTTTAAGTAGCCCTTTTGGAGCCATATTGATGGATGTGGTAGTAGTTGTAGTTGCTGCAGTAAGATTTACCATTGTACTGTTGACAGGAGTGTGTATCAAGTTACTACTGTTGGTAGTCACTGTCCTAGACATAATATTATTTATGTCACTCACATCCAGTATTGAAATAGGAACAGAAGTTGAATATGCATGTGAAGTTGCAGTTGACAGAGTGGTTTGTGGAGGTGGCATGACAGTTGATGTCTGTTGACTTAGAGAAAAAGTATTGGGTGTAGTCTTATCCTGAGATACTTGGTTCTCTTTGGGTTCCAGTTTAACTAAAAATGTTCCGGGTGATATGCTCCTTTCTGGCTTTGGGGGAGTTTTGTTTAGGTTCTCAAGCATGTCACTTGCACTTGAACTCTCAATCTCCAGTGTATCATTTGAGGCATCCATTGCTAATATGCTTGAGAGCTTGCTGTCAACCTCACTATTAGGACTAGCAAGAATATCCTGCGGCAGGGTGCTGCTGTCGTCGCAACCTCGTGTCCCAAAAGGATGAAAATTAAAATCTTCTTCAATCTGATTTGCAACCTCCCTGTTCCTCTGGCTCTCAGCCTTCACTGGGGTTTCATCAAAACCCAGTGGCCTTGATGCCATATTTTCGATTTCCTGTGGACTCATGAGTTTGATGGGCTGAATGTTCCTTACCATAAGGTCGAGCTCGTCAGTGGACTCCTGGCTTGTGCTTGCATCCTGTGTGCTTGATGACAGGGGGTCACTGCATTCCATTGGCTCCGGCAGAGACTCACCTTCTCCAATGGCTGATCCTGAACCTACAGTTTCCTTCTTTTCCATTGTGACAGCCAGGAGCAATTCCTGGGCATGCCTCGCCCATTCTTCCTGAGCCCCCGGTAAGAGCAATTCTTCAAACAGGCCTCTATCTTCCGTTGATAACGAGGGCATATTTTCTATCTTTTTGGCCCCACATTTCTTGCTCTGATCCGTCAAAAGCAACTCCTCGAATAAACCCTTGTCTACCTGCATCAGCGTTTCTAACTTTTTGGTGAAGCTGTTTCGGCGACTCCCACTTCCACTGAGGTTGTCGCCCATATCGGGGAACGTAAACTGGCTCGGTAATGCACTGCTCGATGTACCTGCGTCACTTGCTCCATCTTTGGAAAATACAAGCCCATAGTCCTGGCCACCCACGTGGAACTGCACACTGCTCTTGAGATTAAAAAGGTCACTGATGTCAATTTCTGAAGGTTTGATCTCGGAGTCAAAGTCAAAGCTTGACAAACTGTCACTCCGCGTTTTGAGCCACTCCTCGATGTGCTGGAGGTCCGCCCCCAAGTCACTGGTCGGATCCACATCTTCCTCGCCCGCCCTCAGCATCCCATTTATAACGTTGTCACTGTCACAATTCCCATTAATACCCCCGCTATCACTGCCGCCATGTTGCGTTGTGGCGTTGCTTATGGAGGGCGTTCGGGATAGAGGCGCAGCCCCTTGGCCATCGCCCCCCGCCGCTTCACTCCCTCCATTCTTGAGGATGAACACACGTCTAACCTCCCCAACATCGTCGCGTGAAGTGTTTAGGGCTCCGTTGTGTGACATGTGAGCCCCCGTCTCGGAGTCACTGTGGGGTCTTCCGAGAGAGCAAGGATCAATGGGAAGCTCGCGCGCTAGACGGAGGCGGGCGCTGAGTGGCTGACGCTGAGCCTGAGCGACGAAAAACGAGTCTTCGCCGCGATGGAATGTCCTGAGGCTCGGTTTCAATTAACAGCTCTTTGTTTACATCTCAATTTGATCTGTTGCAACGGGTGTCATGCGACAAAATTGCATTTCGGGATATAAAAGTGTCCGATAGGGAGTTCTATACACTCCAAAGTTGCACTCTTTTCTGACTATGGCAGTTCTAAGAGATAGCCCCATGAATGAGTTTGAAAACGAGTCTCGTGTTTCGGCCATTTCTGTCCCTGTTCTTATCACAGGCGTAGTGATAGGAAATGATACACTATTTTCCTCTTGAAATAGAAACAGAAAAAGATGAGAAATTGTTCTGTTGAGCCGTATCGAGTGAAATGCTACACTTATCAGTCTATACTAAATATACACTATGAGAATTCTTGCGATTTTAGGTTTCGAGATGGTTGAGTGTGAGACGTAGAAGTCAATCCTTTAGAGACACAAACCCTAAAGTATGGATATTAGTAAGACACACATCATAAATAATAACCTTCATTATTTTCATAAATTTATTTTCTTGAATACGAATCACAACTCCCCAAATAATTAAGCATGAAATCAGCCATTGTTACGTATTTGCTAACGTCATCGTTACGTCACGACCTCTCAAATCCGACGAGTTACAAGAACGCGAAAGTTCGGTCTCCTGGCGGCGTGTGGCAACTCGTCCCAGCTGACAGCAATAACAGACATTCACGCCGCGACTTCCAAGGAGGATGGACTACTCTGCATTGGTCTCCCTTATCCTGTTAGCTTGTTTTATGGGACAAGCCTATGGGGACGATGATCTTGGAAGAGGTGAACGCGATGGGTAGATATTTGTTATGAAATCTATTACCAACAGAGAGGGAAATTTTATGCGTCGGGGACATATCGTAGTATATTATTTACGATAAAGGGTAACTGCAAGTGTTTCTGACACTTGATCCATGATGCCAAACTTGGGTGATGTGTACCTGACACGTGGCATTACTTGTAAAGGAGAGGACAAGATAAAGAATTTTATATGATTCTGTAATGCATTTTATTGTTAGATTTATTTGAATTAAAAAGAATATTGTTATTAATGTTTATGTGAAACAAAATCATATAATCCTCAATGATATTCCCTTATTATTTATCTCATTATTATATAATATATTTGGTTGAGAACATTAAAGAAATGTTATTGTCATTAATGTTTATGTAAAACAGTTTCATGTAATTTTCAGTGATTTCACCATATCATTTACCTATTAAGCTAATATATAATATATTTCATTAACAACATTAAAAAATATATTATTAATGGTATGTAGATACAAATTATCTATACATAAGTCTCTTAACAGAGTAAATCTTGTCAGCACTCTAACAAAGGCTGACAAACCTGGCAAGATAAAGTTTATAGACCGTGATTTATTGACAAAACAAGGAGCCAGGGTTTACACACTAGAATATACATGATGGATTTTGTTTTGTTATGTTTACCATAGCTTGGAAAATCTCTTTCTATACTTCAATTTTTTGTGATTTTTAATTTATAGATATAAAGTTTATCCATAATTTTCTCAAGAAAATAATGATAGGAACAGTATTTGAATTATAAGAAAATGATAATTACTCACAGATGATAAGAATGCCCACTGTCCATGAGCAATATGTGACTGGAGATTGTGTACACATTGATGAAAAATAATTCAGTAGCTTATGTGCCTGATTACATCAATAGGAGCTTATGCATAAACATGTTAAAATGAAGGATAAAGGCAACAACTAAAGACTGAATTAATGTGATGCTCAGTGGCTCTGGGCTGAGGCACCCAATTTCTCATCTAGCTTTGGGGAGTTTGAGTATCTCTTGAGCTGTAAGGTGCTAGGACCCTAACTGTTCCTAGCACACAGTAGGAGGTGGCAGTCTGTAGAATCTGTAGATGAAGATATTATTATTATTAGTAGTAGTATTACTATTATTATTATTATTATTATTATTATTATTATTATTACTATTACTATTACTATTACTATTACTATTACTATCATTATCATTATCATTATCATTATCATTATCATTATCATTATCATTATCATTATCATT